TTTCACTTGAGTTTAACCCTTTACCTCCAGAAGTGATTAACATGAAACCTCTCCCTATTATATCTATACATTATCCAGCAAATAACAAATAAGAATACCCAAACTTATCTGGTAGAAGCTGTTATCTTGATCTAACACCAAATTCTCCTAACTTATTTACAAGGAATTGTGTAATTAAGCTGGAGGAGAGAATGTTAGTAGTTAAAGAGTTAAGTTCTTCAGTTTTTTTTTACATCCTATTGTAGTTCTATTACTTCCTATTGTAACTTACCCAACCATGAGACGCAGATCTTCCTTCTTTTGTTCAATGTCACCCCTGAAAAAAAAATAGGTATCTTATTTCATACTCAAACATATGATTTGAATGTTAGAGATATTTGGTAAGCTGTAATGCAAACATAACTGAGAGTATTTCATTTATAACCATTAAAGAAAGGATTTATCATTCTACTAATAACACAGTTGTGTTATTTTCAATTGGCTTTCTAGTACAAGTACAAGCACAATAAAAATGTTGACATGTATTCTTTGATACTTAGCATCATTGAATTAATAATTGATTAAAAAAATAACAGTTAATCCATATAAAGATAATAATAACTATAGTCATCATTTTCATATTGATTATCACTGATACTATCATTATCATAATCGTTCTTTTCTTTTTAAGAAAAATGAATTATTATCGTTATTATCATCAAGATTTTGATTATTGCAAGAATTGGAGCATTGTACAGAGACTCTAATAGATTTAGAAAACACTTACAAATTGAACAAATTAGTTCAACTAGTACAGAAGCACATAACATGCTTCTGACAAGTACTTGTAGTGCTTTCCCTGATGTTTTCGAGGACTGACCTTGTTTTATGTTCAACTGCTCGAATCTCTTCAACTGTATGATTGGAAAAGAGTGCATCACTGTCCACTTCAGCATCCCAAGAAACTGTTCAATAAAATAAATGAGTCAGCATCTCTATAAAGCAGCGCAGAATTAACAATTTAAACATCTAAAGGTCGATAATTAGGATCGTAAACTAACTTGTCTTAGAGTTTCCATGACGTGGCGACAAAGGAGAAACTGGCGTTGTTCCTTTGGAGGATGTGGAGCTACGTGCAGTCGCCATGATGGTTTTAAATAAGGGCCCTTGAGATCGTACACAATGATCTACATTCAAGATTTACATTGTGATTTTCATAAAGTAGATATTTAAGAGAAAATATTTCAGAGAACTCAGTACTCTTTAGCTTCACAACATCTTCCGAGTTATTACCAAACTCTGTGGGGACACTGGGAACGAATATTGATCGGTCAACGTTTCATGTAGAGTCACTGGACAACATAGGTGTACTTACATGATATACTAACATCATGATGACGAATTTAATTTGGGTTTTTACGAGGTTTGATCAACAAGCGAATTGAAATATTCCTGTGGACCAGCTATGTGCATTTGAAGGAAATGCCGAGTGTAACTGAGATTTTCAGATTGTTATTTGGGCCTCCAAAAGAGCGACTCGACACAAACGAATTACCAAGGTGGGTAGAAGCCCATAAAATTAATGAGAAATGCGTGCATCGTATTACTCTCTCTCGTATGGTGGTTTCACTTTCAAGAAATAAAAACGTGTGGACTTTTAACTCAACTTTTTCTCGGAGACGTACTTGGCCAGAATCATAGTTTTCTGTTTTTTCGTTTTTTGTTTTTACTGTTAAAAACCGTAGCCTGAATGTCTGTAGATTAGTCATCAGATAAATTATAATGAACTACAAATGCAATGCAAGAATTAGACCAAATATATCAACTTGAAATAAATTTCTATTTTTGACTGTTCCTAATCCAGAGAAATTCAACAGGATTTTGATAACCTTTATGGAAGGGGATCAGTGCTTCATTTGGAGGTAGAACCTCCAGATTATCACGAAGAATGGAGAATATATGGTGGACATAATCCAGAGCAGGGAGATCTTGAACACTTTTTTCATTCCAGTGAGGGTGATTTCCAACAGGAGTTTGATCAGATGTTTCAGAACATTTTTGAACGATTTCTTGGTGATTTTAATCCCCCATCCCAAGGTTTGTTTAGCAGTCTTTCACCACTTTTGATTTTGCCTTAAATTAAGTTGCGCTTTCCCTGAAAGCAACCTTACAAGGATTTCGTTGTGTAATTGGTTGATCAGTTGAAATGCATCTAAACCTTTAGAAAAAGAAAAATTGAAATACAATTATGATAAGGTGCTTTGTCTTGAAATGAATTAATGAGTGTGTGTACATGTACAGTTGACTGAGTGCTGTGAAATTAATATTTTAGCCTGAATGTTAATTCAGCATAGAGGAGCTGATGAAGTGTATTGGCAATTTTTCAATCAAATATTTTCCTCTTTGTGAAGGTAGAATGCAACATACATGTATCATTAAATTTTTTAATGCTAGAACTTGACAGATCTAATAAAAAATTGATAGGAATACAGGAAAATGTTGACACATTTTAACAGACTGAAGGTTTTTTTGATTAACACTCTGCATGCAGTTACATTTCATCAGATATTAAGCCTGGCACCCAGTTAATTTGATAGAATGGCACTCTGTCTTTTTGCTGTTTACAGGTTCATTCACCTCTGAGGAGAAAACACCAAAATAGCTTATAATTTTATTGGATTCTGCATTAAATAGCTTTCACAGTAGTGGAACCTATTAATAGATATTTCACTTTCATTGATGAGAATTGTGGCAGTTTCCTGTAAGTTGTAATTTTATTTGTGTAGTGTTTTGAAGGAAATTTCACCATCCAGTTTTTGTAACCCTAGCAACCAGTAAGTTCTAAACTTTGTTTTGTCCATAACAGCCTTACCACCAGGTTCACCGTCAGAAAGGCCACAGGAAAATTTTTCTCAACGCCCCAAATCCCTAAGGGATAGAATGCTTAAAGGCCCAGATACACCTCATGGCAATGATGACCTCCCTGATCAGGTAATTCACACTCAACTACAATTGTTAATTTTGAACTGATTCAGTTGTGTTAGTCAGAGTTACTATTAGTAAGAGGAATTCTTAACTCATGTAGAGTACTTTTCAAAAAACTTAATAATTGAAGAAAAAAATAATTTGGTTTTATCAGCTGAATTGATAATATAAATTAGCCACCATAGAGAGTTTCTGAAGCTGACATTTCAAGCTATAGCCCTTTGTCGGGGCAAAATGGAATGTCAGAATGTCAGCGTTAGAAAATCTTTGCAGTAGCCAATTTATATTACCAACTCCGTTGATAAAACCAAATTATATAACAACCCCTTTCTTTGTTGCACACCACAGTTTCTGTAAGAATGTACCCCTTTTACTTTTAGAAAGGGCTGTCAATAATTTTCATTGTCTCATCTCTTACACCTCTGTATAATTATGTTTTACTTTGATTTAGCTTAGAGGCAGTCAGTTGGATGGTCCTCCCTCTCCTCCTTCTTCATTTATGGTAAGTCAGATAACAACACACAGGTGTTATCAAATTGTCCTTTTGCTTTGTCAAGGAAGGGGGGGAGCAATAAAAACTCTTAATATTTAATAATTAGTGATGATGAAGTTGGGCGCAAATATAAGTTAGCCATCATACTGCTGTTAGACAAGCTACACACAGAAACAATGTCAGTCAGTTTACTTTAAATAAAAAGTTTGCAAAGTTCATTTTCAATTGTTAGGTGATATTTTTTAATCCAAAGGGCATTTAGAGGGGGGAGGGGACTGGATCATACAACACATTACTGAATGGTGTTAGTAGATTTCTTTTAAGAATGTAATTAACTTTGTTCTGTCAGTCTCAAGTTTGACAGTCAGAACTGCCAGTTGAAAGAGAAGAAGAATGGTTATCATAATGTTTCAGATTTGCTTGGGCATTTCCAACACCTATTTTATTTTTTTCAGTTTGGTGATTTCTGGAAATTACCATTTGGTGGATTGAGACATCCTGATCAAAGAGCTGACGTAGGTGTGTAGAAACTCAAACTGGCAGAATATTGT